AAGCTCTTTATTATCCTTTTGTTCTTTGTAATAGATTTCTGTACGTTGTCTCCAGTGGTGGTCAAAAAGTGATGATATTTAAACGAGAGTCCAATAACAGACTTACGAAAGTCAATGTGAGTGGGAAAAAAAGATAATTACATTCCTGATATAAAAAAAATTGACTTCTTTAATGTAAATGTGTATAATTTCACAACATCGGGTATCCATAGTATAGTCATCATGTAATGCAGCCAAGTTGACAGAATGTTTTATTTTAAACTTTTTACATACAGGTAAGTTGGTAACATGAACTATTAACAAAATGCTACTCAAAAAGTGTACTTTTTATTTAATTTTACTACATAAATACATGTATGTACATGTAGGAAATTCCAGTTGATACTGTCCCAGACAACTTAGTGGTGGATCCTAAAACGGGAGACTTGTTGCTTGGATGCCACCCAATAGTATTTAAAACCGCTCACCATCTCGATAACCCAGTGGAACCCGCAGCCTCACAGGTAAGAAATATTTGTAATTAATTTCATAATTCAGGAATTAACTTACTAACAGATGTAAGACGTGATATTGATGAGACAGATCGTAGTCACTCGGGAGAGGGCAAACGAACAGTTGTTAAAAGATGGCCTAAGATTGGTTCTTTTTTAATTACTGTAACTAAGTTTAATTCTCTCTCTTTTTTTCCCTCTAAAATACAGTTACCGGTATCTGTGCTGAGGTATATATGTGACTTGTCTACACTGTGAACTTCTTTCTTTAGGTACTGATGTTACACATGGATAGCAATGGTACCAATTTGACAGGTATTACGGAGCTATTCTCAGACGACCTTGAGCTTTATGGTTCCACCGTGGCTACATTGTACAAGAATCGCATGTTAATAGGCACAATCTTGCACAAAATGATGTACTGTGAAGTGAATATATTATAAGGGACGTTTTATGGTCAAAATCTCCTCTTCATCTTCGTGAAATGCATGTATGTTCGTACTCTTATTCGTCAATGAAAGATGAATTACAGTGAAGGAAAATGTGAAAATGTAAGAATACAGACATGAAAGTGAAAATGAAAACAGTATAAAAGTAACTCATATATAACTCATATATAAAGAGAAGTGAAAAAATTGACATTATACATATAGGCTTGATGTCTTTGACGTTTTTTCTATTGAAATAAAAAAAAATCCTTATGTTTCATATATTGATATTTTTAAAATACTAGAAAAAGACATTATGGTAACTTACAACAATGATTTATGATAAATGTGAAATTTTAGCTTTTAAATCGTCAACTTCCATTACTTATGTTGCAATATAATAATCTTTGTCTGCATATGATGTTTATATGTCTCTCAGTTGATTCGATACGCAATCAGGAGAGGAACTCGTAAGTTGAAAGAACTTGTTTCCAATCCTTTTGTTTATACAATAAAATATGTTCAAAACAAAACATACGCAATCCTGAGCATGTTCTACGTATGAACAATTTCTAAAACAATGCAAGCTACTGACAAGCAAATTGATGAAACAACGATATCAACAGTCTCGTTTGAAGTCCTCATTTCGCAGGTTTTACGGTCGATACGGGCTGACATTCTCAGCAAATACAATTTTTCATACCAATTAATAGGACATTTGTATACACTGAATTGTTTACGGATTTTCCCGTTTTTCTCGATCATGACAAGGAGCACGAAGCGGATGTGACCAGTCAGCAAGAGACACTCACTCCTCCATGGCACCTGATCACATCTATGATGTTTTGGAGGTCCGTGTTTACTCTACTCCCGATTTGCATTGTATAAATAGATTTTCAGATTAAATATTTTTCGTTTTTCTCCATATTTCATTTTCAGACTTAATGATATCCTTAGTGGTAGTAACAGGATCAGATTCATTTTACATCCAATAGTGTACAAAACTGTTAGATATGAAAATAACCCAGAGGAACAAACGCCCTTACAGATATATGTAACCGCAATCCTAGAATTCAAAATTTTAATTCTTCTGCAAGTTTTCTTCAGTGTTGATCTTCCATGTTACTTTCATTAATACTTGCAATTGGAATTCAAACAATTTTTCCACCCGTAAATCAAAGAAAGTTTTGCCCTGTCCGTCCATTTGGGCATAACTCTGTCAAAAATGGCTTAGTACACCCCAGTGCAGAACTTTACCTAGATATTCTTATGATAAATCTGTATACCACATTTCATTTAAATATATGCAACCTCTGCAAAAAAAAAAATGAACGGAAACTGTAAATTTTTGGAATTTTTCAAAGTCCAAGAGGCATAACTCTGTTCAAAATGGCCCGATCGTTTCCAAAACAATACTTGACATAGATATTCTTATGATAAATCTGTATATCAAATTTCATTTCAATGCGTGCAACCTCTGCAAAGAAAATGAACAGAAACTGCAAATTATTGGAATTTTTCCAAGTCCAAGGGGCATAACTCCAAAATTGCTTGATCGTACCCAAAGCAGAAATTAACCTAGATTTTCTTATGATAAATCTAAACTAAATGTCATTGCAATACCGGTATGTGCAACCTCTACGGAAAGGAAACTGATGGTGGACCCACAGACTGACCGACTGACAGACAGCAGCAAAGCAATATGCCCTCCCTTCTTCGAAGGGGGGGGGCATAATAAGAGATTTACATTACTTCAAATAGGTCAAATAGAAGAATTACAGGGTATAAACACTTTATAAGTATCAAAATGAAAACAGACACTTGTTTGTTGATTTAGGACCAATTTTATTTTTCAATGAATATTAATGTGCACATGAATAGGTAAAAACATGATTTTTACAATCCCTGATTTTCATTAAGCATTCCTCTCCCCAATAATTACAAATTACTGAAAATATAATTTCACAGGTAATTACATATTATACTCTTAAAATCGCATTTTTTTCAAAGCTAGCAAAAACTGAATTGTAAGCAGACTTTCTTTTCTCAAAAGTTACTAAATTCTATGTATGGCACAGATATATAGACATAATATACAATTTAAAAAATAAGATATAATCATGCACCAAAAACAACCAATATAGGAATTTGATTTAATATCTGTAGAAATTATAGTCTCCTATTAATTGTAAATCAAATTTGCACAACTGTACCAAATTGTATGTTATCACTCCCTTAAATATGTTATCTTTTTTAATAAATGCAGGACCACATTTTTAATCAAGATTCTAATCAAAAACCAGAGACGTACAAATGAACAGACATGAAACCCTTCACCTTCTTTAACTGTATTGTCTACCAGCATCAGTCACAACATTATTTCAAAGTACAGATATCTTCTGTGGCATTTAAAAAAAGTCACAAACGTTTATACTAAATGCATTTACAAAAAGCGTTAATAATGCGTAGAATTTTTTTTAACTTGTAATCATTAATTTACAAAAAAAAAACTTTTTAAATTTTGTGAAAAAAAGAAAAATACAATGCTATTCCTTTTCTAACATTTTTTTTGGAGGTCCTGTCCTATCTGCCAGCCCGCTTGTAATGAGGTCATTAGACACGCTAACTTCAGCGGGGCTGTTGGATTATATTAGGCTTCTGTACTGGTCGATTCTCATGAGTTGGTAACGGTTTCTGATGATAACTCTTCACAGCCTCAGGAGGGAAGTCCTTGTCTCCCTTTAATAAATAAAAAAATGAAAATACATGTAGTGATTTCAAGTTGTTGTTAAGTAAACACACATTTTTTTCTATTCTGTGCCTTGCTTCAATGTTTTAAAGAATCAAACCTCAAAGTTATGATTAATGAGTTCTGAAGACATGCCTCCTTCACATTATACAAACCTTGGTTACTGCTCCAGACAGAAGAATAGATTGGTGGTGTTTATCAGCACTTACATCACTGAATAGAAGGATTAAATACTGTGCATAAGGTAAATCTTAACAGCCCAATCATTGTCATTATCCAAAAAATAATTAACATTGTACTAATATACTAAAACATCTATGAATAAATAAAATAAAATGGAAGTCAAACTTTTTCTCAATTCTTAAAAAGATTAAATTGCCATTACAAGCAAAAAACCAGGCTTTACTTCAAAAGTTAGTAAACTCAGCTTAAGCTGGCAGAATGGTGATAGATGATTGAAGTTAATCTTACACAGTCCCAAACTCTTCAGCTTGCTCCTGCTTTTCCTCCCTTGATTGATGAGAATCACTTTTATCTGGCTGCTTGTGTTGTACAATTCGCATTCCTCCAGCCTTAACTGAAAATTAAACAATGAAGAAATTTTAAGCATCATCACTGTGACTTTTTAAAAACACACTTGTCTGCTTTTCAACATCTTTATCATAGGCGTTGGAACCGGGGGGGGGGGGGGGGGGGGGCTGGGGGGGCTCCCCCCCCCCCCCCACTTTTTTTCCAAATATACACTTTGTATAGACATTGAACATATCTTCGTAGGTTTAGCCTCCCCCACTTTCCACAGATACGTCATAGTATAGAAAAAAATTTTGGTACTGAAGTTTGAACCTCGCCTCCCCCCCCCCCACGAAATAGGATTTTCGTGTTTGGGAAATGGACATTTCCCTTTTTTTTTTTTTTGCTTGTCAGGTTTTTTTGAAGGTACATAAATTCTTTTTTACACTTAGCCCCCCCACTTTCAATTTGCCTCCGACGCCAATGTTTATTGTTCTTTTCTTTTAAGAATTCTTAGTTTCCTTTACCCCAATACCCCTTACTTTTACATTACATTTATTATTTACTTTCCATATTCATTTACGTTGCACTCTCCTATTGTCTCCTAAAAAGCACATAAAATTAAAAATATAATTTTGGTATGAGGTGGGGTGATAAATCAGACACATAAATGATATTGTTATTTATTTTTATAAAACTATTCAAAGCAAGAAAAGTTACACTCATTCACAAGTGGGTCTCCATAACACTGCCTCCCGCTCAAGGTGCAGAATACAAAACCATGCATGCCATAGGACTACTACTGCGTAATATGGATCGTTGACCCCAGCAGCTGTTCGCCTTACGGAAGCCATGCTCGTGATGCTATTAAAACTGATAAAACTTTCTAAAGATGTTTTAGTTTTTTGTATCTCACCTGCAGGGGGGTGTCCTGCTAACAAATCACTTTCTTCTTGTGCGTCTGACATTTCTGTTATGTGTCAATTAAAACTGCTTTCTTCTCGAAATCTCTATCACACTTGTTTACGTGTGTTGTTCACTTTAGTACGGTAACGCCTTATAGTCATACAAAATGCAGACACATTTTCATGACCGAGTGATCATGGTGATGATTAAGGCTAATCACACTATAAATTTTAATTGCAAGACTAGCAAAAAACATTTGCATATGATATTTAATTAAGGTAAGAAAACAATAAATAAAAGAACGTTAGAGATAAGATGGTTTCACTTTCTTTTATTTTTGCTATTTTGGTGTTTCCATACTTTTGCCCCATAAAACTCATAAGGACCCGGACCACAATTAGCTTACATATAGACTTATATAGTAAAAACATGTGTTTTATTTTCTTTGTAACTTTTTTAAAAATATTCATTTCCAAAATATCTTTGACCACATGATAGAGCAATGTGTCAGATAAATATTCACATCCAGAAATAGGGGTGTTGAATGTGGAATTCCCTGGTTATTAATAATCTTCTGACGTCATGACCTCAGGATAGCTCTCGCTTGGCAAAAAAAGTGTAAACAAACCAAATGAATGCTCTTTTCAATTCATATTTCTAGGCATAATTTTTGCATGAAATGCACCTTGCTGCATATCATTGTAAACTTTAGACACTCTACTTTTATTTTATACCCAAAAAGTATCTAAAACATGTGAGCTATTTTTATTTTTATCATTGAAAGGGAGGCATATGAATTTCCTACATGTTGTACGTTTTAGCCATTTGACCTTCACCCTTTAATTGTGGCCCGGATCCTATATGGAGGCATAAAATTCATTAAAAAATTTTAAGGCCATATTTGAAATCCTTAGATACTACTTAACTAATATACCAAGTTTGATTGAAATTCGTTGATATCTACATGTAAAATTACATATTGTGTATACTAAGGCAATACAGGAAAGAAAATGGCAAAAAATGGCAAGTGTGAAATTTTAAAATTGAAATATGTAAAAACTGTTAGACAATAA